ATAATAAGCACAAATAATTATTTCATTTTATTTTTAAAAAGAATGGATTATTTTTCGAGACAATGAGGTCACTTACACATAAAACTGATAAAATAAAGATCCTAGACGGAAATATCACTATTTATTAAAAATAGACTATTTTTCAGGAAAACGATGTCACTTACCCACAAATATTTGAGAGGGAGCTTCCGATAAAAAATTCGGTTCGAGAAAGGAGTTCACTGTGTTTCGACCAGAGAGAGATCTCAAAATTTTTTAGGGTGGGAGTGCTCACCTCCCCTATTTAAATTCTTATAACGTATTATTATATTATTTTATTAAGCTCTACCTCATACCTGAGGTGTCACGTTAAGAGTCTGTTTTTAACATATGAAAACCACGTCCACTAAAGGACGTGGCAAGCCGCAAGCAAAAGTTTAAACTAAGTAAAAACTTTTGAAAATAGTGATGGTCCCCAAGGACCATCATACTCAAACAGACCATCACCTATTTAAAAGTATCTTTTCTCTTTTTTTTTCTCTTTTTTTTTTTTTAAAAAAAAATTTTAAGATTGTTACAGGGAGTCTACCCAAGATATTTTTATAAGATCCAATTTTTTATCGCCAATAATCAAAATTTTTATAACAATAATTTATTTGTTGCCTTTCCCTTTTAAATACAACTTCTAGAATAAAAAATATAAAATAAAACGCTCTTAATCACCAACCAATAGTCTCTCTAATGACTTTCCACTTTAAATACAATTCTAATAATATAAAATATAAAATAAAATACATTTATCTTTCTCTCCTATAGTTTTCTCCCTATAAAATAAAAAATAATTGAAAATTTATACCCTCTCTCCCAAGATCTTTTAACAAAAACAAACTCTTTAATCTCTTTATTGAATTTTCCCTTTAAATTCAAATGTAATAACGAAAAATACAAAATAAAACAAATGTATCGCTCTCTTGTGGTTTTCTCCCTATTTTCTCTCTTTTCACGTCAATCTTTAATTCTCCCTTTCTTCTAAAATAAATCTCCCCAAATCTCTACCAAATAATATCTTAGCTTCTCCACCTCAAATGTAATAACGAAAAATACAAAATAAAACAAATGTATCTCTCTCTTGTGGTTTTCTCCCTATTTTCTCTCTTTTCACGTCAATCTTTAATTCTCCCTTTCTTCTAAAATAAATCTCCCCAAATCTCTACCAAATAATATCTTAGCTTCTCCACCACCTCCTCCCATATCTTTAGCAAATTGATCTGCTCCCCATAAACAAAACAAAAAACAAAATAAGCAACGTGAAATTCTAAATGAAATTGTAAACTAAATGTCTTTCATACCTCTAAAATCTCTACAACAAAAAAAATACAAAAATAACCCTAAATCTCTATAACAAAAAAAATACAAAAATAACCCTAAACAAAATAAGAACCCAACCTAAATATAAAAATATATCAATATTAAAATTAGAAAATTAAAAATTAAAAAACCTTCATCACTCATCATCCCCATGGAATTACCCAAAATAATAATAATAATAATAATAAATCTTTCCCTACTTTACTGAATTTTTTGTTTTACTATTCCTTTATTGGCTGACTAACTTCCAATTTTATAGCTAGCCAAAACCCACCATCTTTTCAACTTCTTACTATTCCTTTATTGGCTGACTAACTTCCAAATATGCTCAAGTTTATAGTTAGCCAAAACCCACCTTCTCTTCAATTTCAAACAAGGTGAAGCTGCCTACCTACATCCTTTTACAAACTTACTGAGGGAGTTAGTCATATTAGAATTTAATACTAATAGTCATATTGCAAATGGTGGTTAATAAGGTCAAGGGATTCTTAAAAATTCAAAAAGAGAATAGGTCAAAAAAATACCAATGTTTCCAAGATCGCCTCAAGGTATTCTCCCATTTACTCGGCCGAGTTATATGCAACCATCATAAAATATAAAAATTTCGTAAAAAATTTAAAATAAAAAATATGCTAACTCGGCCGAGTTACATACAACCATCATAAAATATAAAAATTTAGTAAAAAATATAAAAATTTAGTAAAAAATTTCAAATAAAAAATATTAAAATAATTAATCGAAAGCATTAGTAGGCTAAATAAGATAAAACAAATCAATGGAAGTAGATTGTAGAAAAACTCATTTTACACCTTGAATATTTCAAAAAAATTAAAAAATATAAAAATTCACAAATCATCCTAAAAAAAAAATTGTAACCGATACATTGTTGTTTTCCATATAAGGCTAAAGAAGATGCAGAATATCAATGGAAGTAGATTATTGAAAAACTTATTTTATACCTTGAATATTTCAAAAAACTTTACAAATATATAAAAATTCATAAATCATCTTAAATGATATCAAAATCTTTTAAAATTTTTTTTCACCGATACATTATTGTTTTCCAATTTTTTATGAGGCTAAAGAAGATGAAGAATAACAACGGAAGTAGATTATTGAAAAACTTGTTTTATACCTCAAATATTTCAAAAAATTAAAAAAACAAAAAAATTATAAATCATCTTAAAAACTTTGAAAATCATCTAAAAAAATATTTCTAACTAAGACATTGTTTTATTTTTTTTTCTTTTTTCTTTTTTTTTTCTTTTTTTTTTTTTTTGTTTGGGGTAAGAGAGAGAGAGAGTAAAGAATGCCATAACAATTTATTTAGAGGGTAAGGTGGGTTACAAATTGAATACACAGTGAATGAACCTCTAAGCCTTGGACCCAAATTCTATCAACTCTAACACAAACTTTTCTCTCCAATCAACTTATCGAAACATTACTCCTCAACATCATGTTCTTGAACTCCTGAAAATCCAAACGACCATCTGAATTCTCATCAAACTTCTGTATCATCCTCTTGAAATCCCCCTCCCTCCCCTCCCACAACCCAAGTCTCGAGAGCACTGTCTCCACCTCCTCGCTCGATATGAAACCGTCTCGATCCATGTCGAAGACATTGAATGCCTCCTTCAAATCACCGTCCTCATCGTCGGCTGCAACACTTTGATGTCTGAATCGCTCAGTGTTCGTTATCGATCGACAGAATTCGACGAATCCCTCAAAGTCCAATCTCTCGGATTCGACAATGGCCTTCAGTTCATCTACCCTGATGTCAATGCCACCCCTGCTCAACACCCTGGAAATCGCTTCCACGCTTACTTCCCCAGCCATGTCTTGTTCACACATCTCAAAAATCTTTTGGAGCTCATGAAATTCAAGAACACACATCTTGAAGAACTTTAGCAATAAACCCTTAACCATTTATGATTGCAGAGTGCTGCCAAATCTTTCTTTCGGGATGACTGACCCATATATATGGTTTCTATAGAGAGAAACTCGTAAAAGAAAAGTATGTGATAGATATTATAGGCGTGAAGGTGCAACGAAGTTTCCTTTACGATGACATTAGAATTGTTGATAAAGATCAGAGGACTTCAAGCAATTGGCCTGATTCTCACCGGTTTTGTGGTCATTCGGTGTCCCTTAGGCCAACTGCGGGTTCACCAATGCATCCATCGAAAATGACTTAGATGACCACACCTCCAAAAATAACGACAATGAAAAGGATATATACTTAAAATGTATGAATATGAAAGTAAAAAAATTAATTAATTAATTGAAACCGTCAATCTTCCAACACATTATTTGGACCATCTATTTTCAATATTTTTATATGTTCATACATCTATTTGATTTTAGCCATTCTTGAAATTTAAGATTTCATAATTAGATATGAAAATAAATTTTGAGATAATTCTAAAAATATTTTACACTAAAATTACCTGTTATGATAGAATTTGGAAATACGCTTTAATTGGATTGATTAAAGTCGCAACCTTATAGAAACCGCACCCTTTAAGTATAAAGTTTATGGACCATTGATATTTTCCTTAGTTACTTATATTACCACACATCCATAAAGAAGGCAATGATAAAGATATGCACGATAATAAAAACATATTTAAAAGCATAAATTTGAGTGGACCATTGATATTTTCCTTGTTTATTTGTGTCACATTGAACAGTATTCACTACTTTTTGTGGTCCTTCTCAGTTTAATAAAAATTTTGATAATTATTTTGGCATCTACAATTCAACAACACGTGGCTTCTCCCCAAAGATTAAGCAAATAAAAGAATGACACGTTCAATGTTCTAGATGGTACGAATCTTGTACGGCTCGGAACAAAATTAGGAAGCTTCAAAGAAGCCAAGTAGAAATTAAAAGCATGCAGACCGCTTCAATATGCATGACGAACGTTCATGGATGTGTAAAATGCTACGTTCTTCTATAATTTGTCATTCAGTTGATCCCTACGGTACCTGTCGCAACGGGTCCGGCCACCGACCCGGACATGAAGTCATATGACCTAGATCACGACCCAAAAGTATCATATGGGATCCAGGCCCACCTGGACCCGACTCAAAAATTAGAGGGTGCGGTTTCAACTTTAAACAATCCAATTAAGACGTACCTTAAAATTTTATCATGTAATTTTGTTGTAAAAAATTGTTAGTATTATCTTAAAATCTATTTTCATATCTAATTAGAAATTTTTAAAATCCAAAAATGGTTAAAATCAAGTAGGTCTATAAATATATGAAAATCTTGAAAATGAACGGTCTAGAAAATATGTTGCAAAATGTACTATTTCTAGGACTCAAAAACAACTCGATGTCAAGAAGATCGATTGGAGGGTTTTTTCAATATTAAAACAACATTTTTGATAGATTTTTTAGGTGCATATGTGATTCTACATTTTAAGGTTGCAACTTTATTAAAACTTTTCTCAAAATTAAAATACATATGTATTTAACTATATTTAATTATTTATTATAAATTAGGACCTAAAAATATATATGGTGGGACACACATACCTATACGAAAATAATATTTGGGTCTAATATTTGGAGTCGGATGACGTAATTGAACTAATTTTTGTTACTCACAGGAAAAATTATAAAATGATTCAAAAAAGTTGTTAGGGATGTTATATATAAATATGACAATTCAACTAATTTTTGTTACTCACCGGTTTTCTTGCAATCAAAAGATTAGGGTAAATTAGAATCCCTGTTTTATATCCATATGATATCAAATTCTTTACTTCCCTCGAAAACTTGCTCTCCGCCTCCTTTGCCGTTATACGATTTTCCCGATGAGAGAGTTTGCGTACTTTTATGAGAACCATTATTTATGTTGGACAAAACAAAAAGAAAAAATATAAAATGGGATAATTTTGAGTGGAAATTACCATAAGGTCGGTCAACTTATTTTTTTATATTTTTTTTAAAAATTACTCATTGATATGAGGATGTCCTTCTCTTTTAATTGATTTTTAATATTTTTTTTTTAGATTTATTGTTCTAGTGTGAGGTTGGACAAAACAAAAAGAAAAAAAATAAAATGGACTAATTTTGAGTGAAAATTACCAGAAGGTCGGTCAACCTGTTTTTTTCTATTTTTTAAAAATATTGCCCATCGGTATGAAGATGTCATTCTCTTTCAGTTGATTTTTAATAGTTTTTTTTAGATTTATTGTTCTAGTGTGAGGTTGGTCAACCTGTGTTTTTATATTTTTCAAAATTGCCTTTCGATCTGATGATGTCACTCTCTGTCGGTCAGTTTTTAATATTTTTTTTAGATTTAGTGCTCTAGTGTGATTGGAAGTGCCTAGTCCATAAGGTAGTATGAGGTTAGCATCCTCGGACTACCTTATTGAGGATGTGAACCTTGAGTGGTAGTGCCTAGTCCATAAGGCACTACAAGGTTAGCATCCTTGGACCGCCTTATTACTTAGCAAACAAATGAGCTAATGTGATATGAGGATGCAAACCTCATACCACCCTGAAGAGCACTAGAGAAGGTTGTCATGAATGGGCAGCTCGGACCTCATTTGAAGGCTTAACTATGGGCAGCTAGGACCGCATCTGAATGCTTAACGATGAGGATGCGAACCTCGGACCACCCTAAAGAGCACCAAAGAAGGTCGTTAGAGAATGGCTACTCAGACCACATCTAAATGCTTAACAAATGTTGAGTCGATCCTTATGGTCCAAGGATGCCAACCTCAAACAACTTTGACGATCTAAATGCTTAACAAATGTTCAGTCGATCCTTATGGTCCAAAGATGGCAACCTCGGACCACTTTTGACGAGCACCACAACTGGCGGTCCAATGATGCTAGCATCTGACTAACTAGGCATTGCCCCAAATATCAGGGCACAACTCTACTATCGAAATAACTAATAAAAAATAAAATAAAATATTGATGATGGTATTTTGAACTAACGGGCAATTTAAAAACAAAAACCCTCACGTTGACTGACCTTCCGTATCTTTTGATTTAAAGTTCTTTTCAACTTAAGTTTTTGCTGTTATGTTCATTCTCTCCTCATGTGCTTGAAGGAAGAGAGGCCGTTAGATGATTCAAAGATATTTAAAAATTTTTGATTTCTCAATTGCATCAACAACATGATTAGATTTGGGAGTAAGCCTTCTGAAAACTTCTTCAACAACCTTTTGATTGTTAATGTTTCATTAATATGTTTAACTTGATAACTCTTGTGAAGAAATCTTGAATAAATTCAAACCTTTTCATCGACAGTGTCTTAAATTAATGGTGAGAAGTTTGCATTTTCATAGTTTTTGCCTGGCATAATCATAAGTATTCTTTGCAGAGCAGCTAAACCCAATTAGTTAGGGAAAAGGTTTTGACGATGAAAAATATTTATTAAAAAATACTAACATAACTAGCACTGGCAGTTGTTGCTTGTATACATTCTTTTAATAACCCTCATCTTCCTTTACTAGAAGCCTAGCCAGTGTCAAATCAGGGTCAGATTAGGGGCGACAATGGATCTGGATCCGATCTAGGACCTGTGGGTAGACCCAATCCAAATCCTGGTATGAGTACAAAAATTGGACCCATTGGATTGGGTCCGGGTCCAAATCATCTTAAAAGCTTCCAAAATCATCTAAAAACATTTCTTACCCGCATATTGTGGTTTTCCAATTTTTTATATTTTTCACTTGTTTTTAATAGATATTTTTGTTGGGGAATAGGGAGGGGGTGAGGGAGAGAGTATAACTAATAAAAAGTGCAATCACAACGGGGGAGAGAGTATAAAGGATGCAATAACGGTCTATTTGGAGAGAGAGAGCAAGACTAGAGGGATAGAGAGAGAGTATAAAGAATGCAATAACAGTGAATTTAGAGAGAGAGAGGGAGGGAAAGAGAGAGTATAAAGAATGCAGTAACAGACTATTTCGAGAGAGAATAGAGAATGCAATAACAGTCTATTTGGCAGGTAAAGTGGGATGCAAATTGAAAACAGTGTATGAAACTCACACAAATGGACCCAAACTCCATCAAACTCTCACACAAACTTTTCTCTCCAATCTTCCTCTTTTTTTCTTTTCTTTCTTTTTTTCCTTTTTTTTTTTTTTTTTTGGTAAATCAATGGAAGAGAAAGCCCTAACCGTCTTTCATTAATTTAAGAAAACAAAAGTAACATATTTATGTTACAACCCTATAATATATCCCTATTACAACCCTAAAATATAACCCTATAAGGTAGTTGCTTCTTAAATAACAAAATAGACCCAACTGATGCTCTCCTTAAATAAGGAAATAGACCCAACTGATGCTCTCCTACCGTCAGCAACCATTGCTAATAGCCATGGAGCACGACATCGATTTTGATGTCAGAACTCGTACGGTAATTATATGCAATCGTCTAACCGTCATGGAACACAACATGGTTAGGCAATTATCTGCGATCGTCTAACCATCATCGACATCGATTCTAAATGACATTCACAAGCAGATTCAAAAGCCTAGGATGCAGCAACCCTCATCATCATATTCTTGAACTCTTGAAAATCCAAACGCCCATCTAAATTCTCATCAAACTTGTGTATCATCCTCTTCCGATCCTTCTCCTCCTTCACCTCCCACAACCCAAGTCTCGACAGCACTGTCTCCACCTCCTCACTCGATATGAACCCGTCTCGATCCATGTCGAAGACATTGAAGGCCTCCTTCAAATCACCCTCCTCGTCTTCGGCTGGGACACTTTCATGTCTGAGGTTCTCCGTGCTCGCTATCGATCGACAAAATGCGACGAACCCCTCAAAGTCCAATTTCTCGGATCCGACAATGGCCTTCAGTTCATCTTCTCTGATGTCAATGCCACCCCTGCTCAACACCCTGCAAATCTCTTCCACTCTTACTTGCCCAGCCATGTCTTGCTCAAACATCTCAAAAATCTTTTGGAGCTCAGGTAATTCAAGAATACACATTTTGATGGACTTTAACAATAAACCCTTGACCTTTTATGATTGCAAAGTGCTACCAAATCTTTCTATGGGTATGAAATCATCTATACTGATACATATATATCTGGTTTCTAGAGAGAGAGTTTGTAGAGAGAAACTCAGTATGCGATGAGAGTAAAGGTATGGATGGTGCAACGAAGTTTCCTGTAAGATGACGTGGAATTTTTTATAAAGATGGGAGGACTTAAAACGCTGATTATCAGCGGTTTTGTGGTCCATCGGTGTTCCTAGGGCGAGTACGGGTTCACCAAAACATTAGGGGAGGCATTGGGCTTGTGGCCCGGCCTGGTCAGCTTGGCCCTAAATAACTAAGCATGGGTCTTTACTTTTTTCATCTCTTTTGTATTGTATTTCTTTAATTTTACGAGGCCCGCCCCAGGCCTAGGCAGAGGAGTAGGCCCGAGCTACGGCCGGCCCAGTCCATTGCAAAACATCCATCGAAAATGACTTATGTGGCCACACCTCCATAGGGATGACAATGACAAGCATATACACGTTTATAAAAAAATATTTAAAAATATAAATTTTGGTGGATCATTGATATTTTCCTTGGTCGGTTCCATTGTTGTACAGCGTTCACTACTTTTTGTGGTCCTTTTCAATTTAATCAAAAATTTGATAATTATTTTGGCATCTACAATTTTTTGACAAATGGCATCACAGTTCAGCCACACGTCGCTTCTCTTTTGACCAGGGGAATAAAACAACGTGGAATGTTCGAGAATCGTACAGATTGTGCACGGCTGCAAACAAAATAACGAAGTTTGAAGAAGCCAAGTAGAGACTATCTTCTTTGATGCAATGAAACCGATTGCATATTCATAGATGTGTAAAATGGTACCTTTTTTGGTAAATTTGTCCTTTGGTTGACCCTTACTTGTAGGAGTGGCAAGGGGTTGGCCGAACCAAAAAATTAAAATATACCAATATATTTAAATAAATCTAGCCCCTAGGGGTGGCCCGGATACGAACCCAACCGGGTCTGATTGGACCCAGGCTAGAACTTGAATGGCGTTCAAGTTCAAGATTTAGACCCGGACCGGACCGTCAGGTCCAATTTTTTGACCTATACCCTGACTTAAGTCCGATCTACCCTTGGGGTGTCATGTCGGATCTGGATCCATTGCTACCCCCACCCCCTTTAAAAGGGCAAGGAGATGAAAACATTTTTCAAAGCATGTATAGTATGTTACCCCATCGGTTAAAAAACTTATTGAGGAAACATTTTTTTTTTTTTATTTGTTAACACCTTAGAATCACTAGATAATTATTCTAAAAAAAAATTGAAATTTGAATTTTCTATCATCAACATCTCATCCTCTAAAAATTGGAAAGCTTCCATACAAATTCGAGATATTATTTTATTTCAAGTCTATAGAGGGTGCAAATAGGAATCTGATGTTAATCTATATTTTAAAGAGGTTATATCCCCAAATTTTGGGGATCTAAGAAGAGACGACAGAAAGAGAAAGTGGTTAAAATTAGAGTTTTCTAACATCTAGATCTTACTCTCTCAAAATTGGATAGCTTCTATTCAAATTTGAGACTTTTTTGTTTTCTTTCAAGTGCTTAGAGGGTGCTAATACATATCCTGCAAATTTGGGGGGTTCTAAGACTAATCCCAGGTGATGAGGGAGTAAATGGACTGTCTAGTCTGGAGGAAGTGGAATATCCTAAAAAATCCAGGAGCAAAGAGTGCTTTGAAGCTCGAAAATTCTCTCCAAAAACTATGAAATTGAAGTAAGGTTGGAATTAGATATTATAAAAGTAAGGTGCACCTCAAAAATTCTCTTTAAAACTACGAACTTCAAAATTTTTTATGGAGACACTAACTCAAAATTTTTGGGTAGAAATTATTTTAAATTTTAAATTTTTAGAGAGAAAAACTATCTTAAGTTTTAGTGAGAGAAACTATCTCAGATTTAAAGGTTTTAGATAGTGAAACTATCTCAAAATTTTTAGAGAGAGAAACTAGAGAGAGAATCATGGGTTTATACATTAAGAGTATTTTTGTCCAAAAGAAAGTTATTTTCGATGGCTGTAAAAATAAATAGCAATTGGTTGTGTGAATTAAAAAATACTTGGGAGCTTATGCCTAGAAAGTATGGCCTAGGGAAGCATGCATAACTTTCTTTTGTCTATGATCAAAATAAAAATATTTTGTCTATGATCAAAATAAAAATAAAGAAAGTATATAATGAGACTATTTACTTTTAGTACAACGTAGTCACAATTAATCTTGACTATTGGATATTAAATTAGATTGCTGCTTTTATTTCATTAACCAAACTCAAAGTTCAAAAAAAAAAAATTGGACTTCGTAACACACCCAAGCTATCATATTTCATATCAAATGGTTATAAATAATTATGACCTCCTTGTAGCAAAGTCAAATAGTCTCATTGCATACAATCCCATAAAAATATGCAGCTATTATAGATATTAATATTTTACCGGCATTTAGAAACCTAGATGGGGTGGCCGGTCTGAGTCGGATGAGTTGACTCGGCACGGGCAACTTAAAAGAGAGGGAGAAAGCAAAAGAAAACACTCGATAAAAAAATCATAAAAAATTTATTAAAAAAATGATTCAAAAAGTATTGTTAAGGATTCTATAGATAAACATGACAATTGAGGGCCAATTGGGTACCTGTATTCTCGTAATGGATTACAAGGAAATTTGTTATTTCTTGCGTTTGGGTACAAATATAGTATACATGAAATGGAAATGTAACTCCTAATATTGTTCCAAAAATAGTGGAATTGATTACACGTCTAGAGGCTAAGAAATCGATTGCATAGCCGTGCCGGACCTCCCCTAATCATAAAATCATCTTCATTCACTTGCGGTCCTCTTAAAAACACCCTTCCTTTCTTGTTTCGCTTAAAAACATCCTTCCTTTCTCATAAATACATTGGGTTCTTTTGTTTCAATGACTGGCATTTTGGCCATTTTGGGGATTTCTATTGGGTTTAAAGTCCTCTCAATTTCAACAAGGGTGGATGAAATAACTAAGTGGGTCATCGACAATGCTTTATGCTCAGTTTTGTTCAAGAAGAGTATGGATTGGGATTGTAGGAGCAGTAATGGATTCGAACCCAAACCCAGACCCAACCCGGGACTTGACTTGGGTATAGGTATGGGTCAAGAATTGGACCCAGCTGGTCAGGTCTGGATCCAAATATTGGACCCGAACACTATTCTAGTCCGGGTTTGGGTCTATGTGGACCCAACCCAGACCCGACCCAAATAGTGTTATCATATAATGTTTAATATATAATAGTTAATAATATTTAAATAAATATAACTATATATTTTTAGTCAAGATTTAAATAATACATGTGTATATTTAATATAACATTTAAATATATTTATTTTTATTTTTTTTTGGGTTGGGTCCAATCAAGTCCAGTCAGATCCAGGTCCCATTTTTTTTTTTTCGGGGTCTAGTTGTGGTCCAGCCGGACCCAAACGCGACCCGTTGCCACCCCTATGGGATTTGTCCCGGAATACTTTGGTTTAGTTTCAATTGTTATTTTATCTTAAAAGAGAAAAAATATAAAGAATTGTACAAAACAAATCGTAATATTACAGGTAAAAGTCATGCAATATTTGCAAGTCCAAATTTCTTCTAGATGCAGCCAAACAGCAGCACCGTATTTCACAGGACGTACCCAGATGCTACCCAAACGACAATAATTCATTTTCAAGTAATGTATTACTCCAGTAACGTATTACGCTAATAATGTATTATGTATTTCACAGATAATATATTTTCAAATACCAAAATGGCCCCTGAACTAATTTTTGTTACTTATCGGATTCCTTATAATTACAGGATGCAGTTGGCATACGGATGCATCTGTAGCTGTAGAGGTAAGGTGCACCTTCAAATTTTATCATAGTATATAATTTTGATGTAAAATGTTCTTAGGATTATCTCAAAATCTATTTTTATATCTAATTATAAATTTTTAAATTTCAAAAATAGTTAAAATGAAGTAGATCTATAAACATATGAAAATCTTGAAAATGGACGGTGTAGATAATATGTTGTAAAATGCACTATTTCTAAGACTTAAAATCTTTTTATTTTTTATGGGCATACATCTCGATGTCGAGATGATCAATCAAAGGGTTTTTCAACATTAAAATTACCTTTTCCGATGGATTTTGAAGTGCATCCGTAGTTCTATATTATAAGGTTGCATCCTTATGTTGTCTGTAAATCCACAATCTGGTCTTGGTTGTCTATTAATAGAAAAGGTTGGGGTATTTCTAAGGTGGATGTGATGGCCAATTTGTAATTTGTTCTCTCTTGGTTCGTGTATTTCGAGACCAAGATAGTTTTGGATGGCGCCATGTCCAGATAACTTTAAGGTAAACTTTGATGGAAGCTCTTTAGGTAAACCCGGGTCCCGTTGGAATTGGGAGAGTTTTGTGAGATTGGTGTGGTAATGTTCTCTTCTCCTTTGCTAGACCAATTGGAAGTACTTCAACTAATTTCGCAAAGATGAGTACTTTTCTATGTGGTTTGAAGATTTTCTCCAAGAAAAATTTGGGGGCCTGCATGATAGAGGGTGACTCCATAAATGTCATTAGATGATGTTGTATGGAACAAAAAATCCCTAAGGAACTTCGACCCTTATGGTTGCAAGTGATGGATTTGGCTCCTTTTGGTGTGGTGTCTTTCACCAATGTTTACATGAAAGCTAATGGGGCAGCTAATCTTCTTGCTAAAGAGGGTAGTTCTTGTTCTTCTGTAATTGTTTCTCACGATGTAATTTCTTTTGAATAATTTTTAATAATATTAATGATCTTAAGTTAAAAAAAACAAAAAAAAAAAAAAAGGTTGTAACCTTATGTAAACTTTTTCGTCAAAAGATTGGGGTAAATAAGAATCCCTATTTTATACCAATAATACTTTTCAATGCGACCGATCTTTTGCACTTAATTGCGTTGTAGGAATTCACGATTGGAATGATGCTAATTTCATCCAATCAAATTTGTTGCTTCCGCCGAAAAGCTTGCTCTCCGCCTCTGCCTTTATACGTTTTTCCCTATGCGAGGGTTTATGTAACTTATTAGAACCATTATTTACGTATGGACTTAATAAAAAATAAAATAATAAAAAATAAAAAAGAAATAAAGGAGAATATGA